GAACTCCTTCCTTCTGTCTTGGACGAGAACGTCCTGGAAAGACATGAACAAGCAGCGTCAGGTGCGCTTGGGTTCTGAGATTCTCAAGACCCCAAAGGATTCCGGTGTATCCTTTGGTGACGGAGTATGCGGACGTGGTGAATAAACACCCACCGACCCAACTCCCACCGGATCGAGGCGTACGGCACGAGATTGATCTCGTGCCCGGCACAAAGTATTGTGTCACGAGGCAATGGCCTCTCCCGCGCGAACAGTGCGAGGTCATTGATGCCTTCTTCGCCGCGAAAGCGAAGGCAGGCATGGTGCGGGAGTCGAAATCCCCGCACTCGACGCCGACTTTCTGCGTTCGTAAGCCGAACGGAAAGTGGCGTCTGGTTCACGCTTATAACAAGCTGAACAACGCAACGGTGCCGGCCCAAACACCGATCCCACGAAAGGATGTGTTGTTGAACAACATGGCCGGGAGCGTACTGTACAGTGCGCTGGATTTGGTAGACGGATACTACCAAATCCTGATGCGAGAGAGTGACATCCCGCTCACCGCGGTAAGCACTCCAAGCGGCATGCTTTGGGAGTGGCTCGTCATGCCGCAGGGCTTGTCTAACGCCCCGGCGACGTTCAATCGCCTGGTGACGCAATTGTTCCGCCCTTTGCGTACCTTCGTACAGACGTACTTCGACGACATTTTCGTCCATAGCCGTGCCGAGGGAGGCAAGACGGCCATGGAGGTGCATCTAGGACACCTCCGTCGAGTGTTGGACGTGATGCGAGCGAACAAGCTCTACGCCAACATCGACAAGTGCGTTTTCGCGTCACCAGAGATCAAAGTTCTCGGTTGCTTCGTAAGCAACGTGGGCGTTCGGGCTGACCCAGACAAGGTCAAGGCCATAGCAGCATGGCCGACGCCCCGATCCCAGAAGGATCTTCGAAAGTGGTTGGGTTTGGCCAACTACCTTCACAAGTACAGCGCTGGGTACGCGGCTTCGCTAAGCCCTTGTCGAGCCTCCTTCAG